ACAGGCTCTGGTTACGACCATATGGCTACCCTCTCTTCATGACTGTAGATGCCGACGGTGCCTTTGAGGGAGCTTTTCAACAACACCTACAAGAAAGCGGTGTGCTGCTGAACACAGTACCAGCAGATGGGCATCATCAAATCGGCGCCATCGAGAGACGAAATGCCATTTTCAGGTCAGTTTTAGAGCGACTCATAGATCAGAACGGGGTCACCAACAGAGATCAGCTCGACTTGTGCATCAGTGCAGCCGTATGGGCAGTGAACTCCAGCATACACACGCGAGGCCGCAGCAGCATGCAAGCAGTTTTCGGCAAACTGCCCAGACTCCCAGGTGATCTTCTTTCCGACTCGGCCGCGCTCGCAACCTCCGACTACCACCTCCTCACAGAACAACTTCGTTCTCAAGCGTGTCAGGCAGTATCGGAGATGTCAGCTTCTGCGGTGATTCGGAGGGCTTTGCTTCGGAAAACGGCTACTTCACGGGCTAGGGTCAACGAGCTCTTGCCTGGCTCCATGGTGGCCTACTGGAGATGGAATCTGAAAGCCCGTGGAAGGAAGCGAGGCGGCTATATACTTGGCCGTCTGGTTGTGAAAGACGATAAGAACGCCTGGGTACAGAGCGGCGGGTCACTTGTGCAGGTGACACATGAGCAGCTTCGTCCAGCCATCGGGATTGAAGCTTGGACGCCAAGCCCTACCGACATCAAGATGCTCAAGGATTCAGGCAAGCTATTGCGAGATGGTCTTTGGTATGATGCTCGCGAAGCCGGACCACCTCCTGATGAACCCTTTGAGCCTGTTGTCCAAGCGCTTCCCGACCAACTTTTAGAACCACAAGCTGCTCAACAAAACGAGCCGGGACAATACGAACTACCTCCTGGGGCTCCTCGACCACAACCGGAACCTGAAGTACCACAAGCACCACCTCAGGCAGATGCTTTGACACTGCCTCTTGAAGAAAATACGACCGAAGTCCAAGGAGAGCAGGCCGCAAATGGTGGCAACGTCAACATCTTCTCTCCTCGCTACCAGCAGCAAAACATCTGGCAGCTTGGCGATGAGCATCAGGCGAGACCAGGAGGCCAAGCACGCTCCAGGTCAAGAGGCAGAACTACTTCCTTGCCTCCAACTCCACGACAACATCAACTTCAACCGCCGACGCCAAGCCAACCTTCTACACCACGACTTCCCCCAACTCCACGGCGACGTGAAGCAGTCAAACGACTACAAGCTACAGCTGCAGAAGACGAACCTGCAGCAAAAGTGCCAACACCTGCTACACCACCAACCTCCGAACCTCAACGACGACCACCTGTTCCTTCTCCACTACCAGGAACACCAGCTGCGTCGGAGTTTCCGTTTTCACCCGACTTTCCGTTTTCAGCAGAACCGCTGGGATCCGCAGAATTCGAAGCCTCTCAAGACGACAGGCTTACTTCTGAGCTGACCACTTTGGAAGCTCAGCCGAGTCAAAGTCAGGCAGGAATAACAGCTGCAGAAGAACCCTCTGCAGCAATGGAGGCCACAGGCACTGAAGAAGGACCTCTTCCCGAACTTCCCGCCAAAAGACCTCACGAAGCACTTCCTGCACGCGAGCTGCCGAAGAACAAGCACAAGGGCTACCACGCCGCGCTCCTCACAAGCTTCATCCTCGACAACCTCATGGAGATCTATGGTCCCGAGATGGGCTGGGATGGCTCTCCTGAGTACTGTGATGGACAACCTTGCACAGCCTTTCGATGTGCAGCAGCAAAGTTAGAGGAGACCGAGGTCTCTTCCGACTCGTCGGATGACGAAGGGACCAAGCCTTTGGATACCCTCTCCAGGCAGGAGCGCAAGGCGATCGACAGAGAGATACCATGGAGAAAGATCATATCGGATTTTCCCTCCAACGTCATCGATCTCTACGTGCAGGCGAACAAGAAGGAGTTTGCTTCATGGACATCCTGGGGATCAATACGCCCAGTGCCTGCAGATGAAGCACAAAGGATTCGAGCTGATCCACGAATGAGGCGTCGAATCATGCCATCGAGGAACGCCTACCGCGATAAGAACCGTGGAGCTGGACCGGAGATCAAGGCCAAATGCAGGACTGTGATCCAGGGTTGCCACGACCCTGACTTAGGCCTTTTGGACCGTTCTAGCCCCACTCCCACACGCCTGGCAGAGCTACTGATCTACGAGATCGCCTGCTCAGGTTACAACAGAAGACTCCAGAGAAACAAGAAATCCTGGAAACTCTGGTGTGGTGATGTGTCCACGGCTTTCTTGCAGGGCCAACCACAGGCAAGGACTATGCCGATCTACATGAGACCGCCCCGCGACGACATTCAGAAGATGGCCCAAACCTTTCTGCACGACTTGTACGAGATCGTGGGGAACCTCTACGGTTTGTGTAACGCACCTCGGACATGGATCAACCACATCGTGTCCAAGCTTTTGGAGGCGAACTTCAAACGACATCGCCTAGACCACACCGTGTACTACAAGCTTGACGACGTGGGAGATCTTTTGGTCATCCTCCTGTTCCACGTAGACGACTTTTTGGTTGCCTACCGCGAGGACTACGCCTTCGACGAGCTCTCCGGCATGTTCACTTGGGGACAAACCAACTTGCTCGACGATGGTGAGTTTGTCTTCAAAGGCAAAGAGGTGAAGCTTATCTGCGAGAAGGGAGAGTTCAAGATCAAGGTCACGCAGAAGGCCTTCATCAACGAGCTCACCCCCGGAAAGCTTCAGAGAGGACGCCTTGACCAAGCAGGTCACCTGACCAGTGAGGAGTTCAAGGAGTACAGAAGCTGCGCGGGAAGCTTGCAGTGGCTAGGCGGAAGCACCCGTCCAGACATCTGCGCTTCAGTTTCTTTGAGCAACTTGGGTCAAGACAATGGCCCACAGCAGCTCAAGGTGCTCTACGAGTGCATCGACTACATGAAGACCACTCCTGAGGACGGCCTGACCTTCCAGGGGGTGAGCCTCAACTACGCGACTCACGTCATCGGCTATGGTGACTCCAGCTGGGCAAACGCGCCAGGTGGGAAAAGCCAGATGGGTGTCATAGTGCTACTCGCTGGTCCCGAGTGCAAAGACAAGGTTGCTCGCGCAACCATCGTGGACTGGAGAAGCTCGAGAAGTCCACGAGTGACGCGGTCCACTTTGGCTTCTGAAGCCAACGCGATGGACGAGTGCGTGGACCGGTGCACGTTCTGCAACTGCTTCTTGTCCGAGCTCCTGGGCGGCCACAAAGTGACGCCTGAACAGCTTAAAACAAAGGGGATGCTACAGCAGCTGCAGATCACAGACTGCAAAAGCCTGTACGACTCGGTGATCGCAGACAATCCAGCAACGTCCGAGAAACGGACGACCATATCGATTCGTTCGATACAGGATTACATCAGTCCTGAACAGGTTCACTGGGTTCCGACCACCTTGATGCATGCTGATGTTCTGACCAAGCACTCTGTAGCTTTGCGTGACAGCTTCATCAAATGGTTGAGAAATCCCACAGTGCAACTTGTCGAGTTGAGTGAGTCGTTGGTACACCGAAAAGAAAATTTCCCCAGTGTGAAAGATCAGCTTTAGCGTGCCTTCTGTTCGGTGAACCAATTGCTCTGAAAGCTCTTTCTCGCAGCGGATCCCTTGAGTCTCAAACCTTCTTTAGCCGTGAGTGCCTTCCGGTAGAAAAGAGCGTCGTGAGAGTGCTTGCGCATGAGTGGCTGAAGCTCCAACTTTCGTTGCCTCAAGATTTATATCATCAACAGTATGACTCTTATCAGCCTTGTCCTTTTTCATGGTTCCCCCAAAAGACTAACGGCTAGTAGACCTTCTTAAATAATTCCTACTAAGGGATGTAGGTATAGGGCTCTGTCGATTATTTATAAGAGGACAAGGGTGACTCTTATACCAAAGCCCCCAGCTGAGGCTCTGTTTGAACTTTCGTGCTTTCGTCGCTCACCAGAGTGATTTCGGGCCTCCTCTTCATGCGGCGTGAGAACCCAGAGAGCCCAATACCCCTTAATTAAGGAATATGGCTTAAATCATATTATGCGCCCCCTTATCATTCAAGGTAGGTATATTGCTTAATTAAGGGGTATTGGGCTTTCTGGGAAGCTTGGGATGACATATTATTCATATAAGTCGAAGCAACACCGGACGAATGCATCCTAAGCCTAAAGCCCTAAACCATCAGCCCCAATATAGGGGCCCATATAATCACCAATAACTATTGTGGGATTCCTCATTACGGTTATAGTCTAATTTTCCCAAAAAACTATTTTGACTAAAAGGCCCCCCATGTTAAACCCTTAACAAGCTGAATCTTCAGAGTTCACTCCCATGCTCGTTCTCCCCGTGGCAGCAACCGGTCGGTCGGTTTCCCAATAGAAACCCAAGAGTTGGAAGCCGAAGAGCTTCAATCTTTAAGAGTAGTGTTGAGGGAATCCCAGCACTTTATTGGCCTTAAGGCCTAAAACAGTAAAACAACCCCAAAGCCTGGTAAAGCCCTAAACCCCGAAGCCCCAAACCCCAAAGCCCTGAAACCCTAAGCCTTAAGCCGCCCCATGTAGGTGTAGTACATTCCCGAGGTACCGTAGTTCCCTAAACCGATAAACCCGAACGCCTAAACTCCTACACCCTTAAACCCTGAACCCCTAAACCCTTAAACCCTTAACCCTTCAGCCCTTAACCGTTAAAACCTAAACCCTTGAACCCTTAAACCCTTAAACCCTTAAGCCCTTAAGCCCTTAAACCCGAAACCCTTAAAATCTAAACCCTTAAAGCCTAAGCCCTTAAAACCTAAACCCTTAAACCCTACCTAGACCTTCCATCTACCCTCTATTGGACCCTAAATGACCCTACTTTGAGACCATATACCCCCATTTGAGGGTACAAGGAGGGTCCTGGTATACGTTCCCGAGGTATCGTAGTGGAAAAGCGCTAAACCCCCGAAGCCCCAAACTCACCCCCGAAGCCCTGAAACCCTAAGCCCTCTACGTTCCCGAGGTATCGCAGTGTCGTGGCCACGGTCAACAGCCGCGATGAGGGTGCACTGGAGCGCCTGATAGGCTCGGTACCCCGTTTTTTTCGCAGTTTAGGGCTCCCTCAACCCTGAACACCCTATAAGGGTTCCTTTAAGGGTCCCGATCTATAGGGGTTCTATACGGGTATAGGTTTTAGGGCTTACTTGGAGGTTCATGGGGAGTTATTATAAGTAGGGTTATAAGTAGGATAACTCTATGTAGTTATAACCCTTCTTAAGGGACTTATAGCCATAAGTAGGATAACTATAGTTAGTTATAGCCGGCTAAAACCCCTACCCCATTCATAAGTACCCATGAACCTCCAGTGGGCTGAAGGGTTCGTGGCTTGGGGAGGGTTGAAGGGCCCAGAGAGCCCAATAGCCCTTAATTAAGGAATATGGCTTAAATCATAATATGAATCCCCTTATGGTTTAAGGTATATTCCTTAAGTAAGGGGTATTGGGCTCTCTGAGGGGGAGATTGTGTTCCTTCGCTTCCGAGTTGGGGGTTCAAGTATTTTAAAGGGTGTTTCACAAGTGCTGTACATTAAAGGGCTTCCTTCAACGGCTTTCTTAGGGTTTTGTGGGTTTGCAGGGGTTCTACAAGGATGACACTGAAACCCTAAACCCGATGTTATGTGGCTTTGAAGGGGGATCCTCCGAGACTCCGGGCCGTGACATCGTTGGGGTATCTCACCGTTGGATTTCCCCACGGTTTAGGGTTTAGGGTTTAGGATATTAACCATAAGTTGTAGCGCCTATCGATTCCGTGGCACAATCCTGCAAAACCCTAAACTCAACACTACAAACCCTAAGACCCTAAAGCCCTAAACCCCACAAGCGAACTCTGAAAGCTGTTCCAGGCCACACGGAAAGGCTCGACGTCGCAAGGCAGCGGCAGCTGCTCCTTCAGGCGGGGGCTGACGAGTTATGGTGGTTTACTATTCAGATATAGGGTTTAGGGTTCCTATAAGGGGCTACTGGAAGGATTACTGTAAGGGTCACTTGAAAGGGTTAGGGTTACCTCAGTGATGAGTTGCGAGATCACGGTTGAATCCGCCGCTGGGAATACGGGCCATATCTGATGTAACCCCCCATCAGCACCGAGACATCGTTTCTCCTCCGGCTGCATCTCTTGGTACCGGTAGCTGCCGGCCAGGTAAGCATTGCTGCTACAAGGTCGCCTCTTATCATGCCGTTGGTCCAGCCGCGATAGACGGCATCCTAGTGGTTGTCGCAGAAGCAAATGTCGTCGTCGTGGTCATCCGACAAGTAGCAGCCCGAGCCATTCCCGCGCCAATTTTGCATAGCATTGTGCGGCAAATGCAAACTCACCATACCGCCTTGCATCTTGCAGCCCCTACTTACTTAGACTCTGGTATACCCCAAAAGCCTCTACTACTTACTAAACTGTCTACTTACGGCTATATTCAGTGGAACACGCCGCCCAAAACGCTAAACCCCAAACCCTAATGGACCCCAACAAAACCCAAAGTAGGCCTTAAAAAGACTCGAAGAGCTCAATAAACCCGAATGAACCACCAAACTCTGAACCCAAGCCCTAAACCCTGACTCTTGGAGTCGCTGCCAGGGACTTTAGGAAAAAGGAGCTCAACAAAAAAAACCTGAACCTTAAACTCAGAAAGCCTAGCCCCATGCGGGAGGACGGCTTCGGGCGGATCTTGGCCCTCCTGGCAGGCTCTTCGGTTTCTCTTACCTACCAGGATTTAGGGGTTCAGGTCTTTAGGGCCTAGGGTTGCATCATGCATATACAGCCATGAAATATGCATGCGAGAATATATAGCAAGTATGGCATGCTACCTGACGAACGCGCGGCGTGCCTGCATGCACTGACACCGCTTTTCCTGGTCATGCAGAGGCTGCTCAGAGTTGGCACAGGTTGGAAACGTATCTGGGAGCCTTGTGACCTGCAAGTTCAGGTTTTGGGTTTCGGGGGTTTTCGGGTGTTCGGATGTCAGGCTCAGGGCACAGGCACGTGAGGCTTTCGGGTGCCCAAGGCTCTTCGGCAAAGCGCTGCAGCCGGCGCCGGCCCACCTCCGCTTTGACTGTAAACCTCCTTCTACTACCTATAATCTCCATTGTAGTTCCTTCTTTTGGTTTAACGAGTTTTATGTGTTGGATCCTATAAGGTAACCCCAAAAAGGAACTACAATGGAGACTGTAAAAATGTAACCCTAAAGCCCAAGCCAGCCGCGTAGCGAAATCCCAAGCTCAACACCACCATAGGGTTATATAGGCGTTTGGAGGTTTACCATCCCCCTTTAGACAGTACCATAGGCTTTAGCGTTTTACAATAGGGTTCCAGGGTTAAGGGGTGTTATAAACTAGAGGTCTACCATCCCCTTTTAGACAGTACCATAGGGTTTAGCTTTTCACAATAGGGTTCTAGGGTTTAGGGGTGTTATAAATTAGAGGTCTACCATCCCCTTTTGGACAGTACCATAGGGTTTAGCGTTTTACAATAGGGTTCTAGGGTTAAGGGGTGTTATAAATTAGAGGTCTACCATCCCCTTTTAGACAGTACCATAGGGTTCAGCTTTTCACAATAGGGTTCTAGGGTTAAGGGGTGTCAGAAATTAGACAGTACTCTAGGGTTTGGCGTTTTACAATAGGGTTCTAGGGTTAAGGGGTGATATAAATTAGAGATCTACCATCCCCTTTTAGACAGTACCATAGGGTTTAGCGTTTCACAAATTGGTTCTAGGGTTAAGGGGGTGTTCTAAATTAGAGGTCTACCATCCCCTTTTGGACAGTACCATCGGGTTTAGCGTTTTACAGTAGGGTTCCAGGGTTAAGGGGTTTTCTAAATTAGAGGTCTACCATCCCCTTTTAGACAGTACCATAGGGTTTAGCGTTTTACAACAGGGTTCTAGGGTTAAGGGGTGCTATAAATTAGAGGCTTACCATCCCCTTTTAGACAGTACCATGGGGTTTAGCGTTTTAGGACCCTAGAGGTTTACCATCCCCTGGCCTTTTTTGCGTGAGGTCTGGCTTTGCTGTCGGCTTTTGCGGCCTCCTTGGGCCATTGGCTGGATCGCCTCGCCTGGCCAGCCCGAGGGGATGGGAAGGACTTGGAGGTTCATAACTACTTATACGTGGGGGTATGAGAAGTCCTTTAAGATGGGTTATAACTATAGTTATCCTACTTAAAGCCTTACATATATCTACCTCCAAGCATTCCTTCAAAGCTTGCTAGAAGTCATTGACTAGGGGTTAGGGGTTTAGGATTCCTGGCTCCTTTCCGAGTGCTGTCGTTCTATCGCTGTCAGCATCATCATCATCATCATCATCGTTTCTTCTATGCATGTATACATGATATAAAATAGGTCCATATGAAAACGCACATCGCCATCACAATCAAACACCCCAAACTTCAAACCCTAAGACCCTGTACTGACCAAAACCCCAGACACCGAACTGCAAAGTCCAACCCGACATCCAAAACCCGTAGCCGTGCACCGTGCACTATATATATATATATATACACACACACACACACACACATTATATGACTAGAATATACGATACTGTACTATCGAATATTATCACTATACTCTGAAGTTTTACAATATACTCCTTAAGTTTGCTAACTCTGAAACACTACAACATGCTCCTTTGCCTTAGGAACCGAAGCTAGGCCACTGGCTCATCCTGGTAAGGAGTTCTAGCTGTATTGCAGTTGGAAAAGAGCCCTCGAAAAAAAAGCTAAGCCAGGGTCGCCTGGATCTGCTTAGCCGTGTGCTTCCTTGGCGCTTCCCCGCTCTTGCGCACGCCCCTGGGTGGGGTGGCGCAGAGGCTGCGGAGAGGGGACCCTGGATCCCGGTTTTAGCGTTAGTTTAGGATAGAAAGTAGCAACAACAAGAAGAAAAAACTTGAGTTTAGGGTAGAAGGAAAGTAGCACTAACAAGAAGACACAATTTTATGTAGCATCGCACCAGCGTTGCTCTTACGGTTGCTTTCACCATGGCGAGTACCATCAATGCTGCAACTGCAACTACTTCTGGGATGTTTAGCCTTCGGTATACTTCCAGCATCTTAAATACCGGGTTCCGTCATCTTTACTGGACGACATTTGTGTGCTTTCAAAACTTGTCAACTGTTGATGCACGCTTTCTCTGCATCAGGATGTCGAGAAATCGTTTTCCCTTCCGCCTACAGGGAACCGGAAGGATTGGTATAGTGGTATCATAACTACCACTATTATAGATTCGGAAGGACTGTCATCTATTCTTGCCAATCTCATCAATCACGTATTCGCTTGCCACTGCCAGCACTATCTTCGGAAGCTCATTTTCCAGGTTTCCCAACAGCTTCAACCCTAAAACTAAGCCTGTATCCCGTGTTGGAAGCAGCTGCACCGGGAGGGGTTTAGGACTGCTTGGCTGTCTGCCAGCAGGTGGCAGCAAGTCTGGAACGGTTACTGCTGCCAGGATAGGCACGACACGTACCCGCAGAGCCCCATTTACTCTCAGTTAAGGAGATCACGTCGAACTCTTGAATACCGTTGGCCATCCTAGTGCGGATGATTTATAAAGTAGACCCCTAAACCCTAAACCCCTAAACCCTAAACCCTACTTGGAGGAAGTAGACCCCTAAACCCTAAAACCATAAACCCTAAACCCTACTTGGAGGAAGTTAGGGGTGCTTGACTCTCTTTATACGTGGCCTGTCATGTACGCATCGCAAGAGCCAGTGGGCTGAAGCCCACAAACTCGAAAAACACAGACCATGGAGCCCCAGGGTGTAGGGTTTAGGGTGTAGGGCTTACTTGGAGGGTCGGGGGACTTAGTAAGTAGGTCGTAAGTAGACTTATAAGTACCCTAAAAGGGACCTTGATTGAGGTTATGGTACTTATAAGTCCTTAAAATAGCCAGTTACTAAGTCCCCCGACCCTCCAAGTAGTAGCTGAGTGGATACACTTTGCACTTTTTGGGAGAATATTGCCCACTATAAAGCTGAAAGTGTGCACTTTTGGGGGGCTTATGAACTCAGCAAGGAAGTGATTAAGGAACCTTGGGCCTCTGTTAGGGTTCCTTATATGAATGCTATTATTTTGGGGTTATGGGCCCAGGGTGTCTTAATCAGGTTCCTCCAGTATAGAACTGCTTCAGCAGCAACCCTGAACTCATGGCCCAAAGGAAGCCCGAGCTGGAAAAGTATTTCGGCTATACTAAACCCCCATAATACCAATTATAGTAATCCTTATAGACCCCTTAAAAGGAACCCTGCAAGGAGCCTGATTTTTGAGGCGCCTCCATTCTGGCACTTCGGGCAGGTACTGCGACCAGGTGCTTACCAAGGCCCTGGACGGCTGGATGAGGCAGGTCTGCCTCGAGGCGCGGGCTCTCAAGCTCAGAGTGGTAGGTATGGTTTAGGGTTTAGGGTCGAGTAGCAGTTATGGTTCATGGTTTCGGGTTTAGGATTTAGGGTTCAGGGTTTAGGGTTTAGGGTCAGGCGGTTTAGGGGCAAAATACTTTAATTACTAGTTATTGTGACAATACTGATTCAGCAGTACAGTTGGTAATACTAAAGAATGGGACTACGGCTAATAAATGATTAAAAGCAGTACTCCGAGTTGTCGTCGGCGTCGTCGTGTTAGTATTGATTTATATCAGTATGCGCATAAACTAGTATTAGTCGTAGTGTTACCCATAGTATTAGTGTGTCTTAGTCTTCGGGTTAGCATTTGCACAAGTTGTCGTGCTAGTGATAGCACCAGTATTCGCCTTAGTTTGAGTATTTGTGTGAATATTATAACAAGCTCAAGCATTAGTTGTGTGTTGGTATTTCGAACAGTGTTAGTATTAGTACCAGCACCAGAATCAGTATTAACATGTGTGAGCTGTGTACGTATTTGTGTGCGTACTTTTGCATGCGAACCATTACTATGATGGTTTCAGTAGTAGCCGGGGTAGTAGTAGTCGTCGTCGTAGTCGCAGTCGTTGTCGTGGTAGCAGCAGAAGAAGCAGTCCCGTGGGCTCGTAGACTTGCAAACTCGGAGACTCGCATAGACTGGTAGACTCGCAGACTTGTCGTTGTCGTAGTCATAGCAGTAATGTCTCCCTAACTTGAACCCCCTTCTATGAGAAACTTCCATCTGTGCGAGCATTGACTGTAAGGGGTATTCAAGCTGAGCACTCTTGCAGGCTTCAGCTCAAACCATGGCCGGCGCAGTGGCATCAGGCCTTCATGGTAAGGATCAGGGTTTGCATTCCGACATGTAGGGTTTAGGGCCGGCTTCATGAACAAATCCGCTGCATTCCGAAACTCCCTGTCCCTGGCGGAGATGGGAGCTGGGGTTAGGGTCGAGAGTGTGTGGGTTCCGGGTTAGGGTCGTTTAGAGTTTACAGTAAAAGCCAGAACGTTGGAATATGGTTATCCTAAACCCTTTGGCAGTGGCTCGGGCCGGGTTCGGGTTGAGGCCGAACGGGGCGAAGGCTTCAGGGCTGAGGTGTTCGGGTGGTTTATGGCTCATGTCGCAGAGTTTAACGAATGATGATCGAGTAGTAATAATAGTAGTATAGTAATACTAGTATTAGTAGTAATAGTAATAATAACAGTAGTATAGTAATAGTAGTATTAGTAGTAATAGTAGTAATAATAGTAGTATAGTAATGGTAGTATTAGTAGTATTAGTAGTAATAGTAGCAATAGTAGTGATAGTAGTAGTAATCGTAAGACTATCTTGATTATTCATGGTGAGGCAATGAGGGCCCTCAGTTAACCGAAACCCTGGTCCGTACTTTGCTGGATAGACCAAACAGAAGCCGGCACACTCTTCGCCGATGCTTCGGTCTAGTCTCCTTTGCCTTAAAAGGGGAGCTTACGGTTTGGAGTTTAGGGCATCGGTTTTCGGCCTGGGCCCTAAACCCTATTCAGGGTTTAGGGTTTAGGGGGCCCGATTACAAGGGGCCCTGAACCCTACTAAGGGTTTAGGGTTTAGGGGGCCCGATGCTAATGGGACCTCGCAGGTTGTTCGACGTGTCGCCCTTGCTGGAAGAAGCTCCCGAAACTGTGCCCATAAACCCAAAGGCACCGATAAATCCTAGGCCCGGAACCCTAAATCCTATAAACCATAAAGCCACCGATAGATCCTAAGCCCTAAACCCCGTAAGTCCTAAAGCCCCTGATACTTCCCAAGCCTGAACTCTTGAAAGCCCTGACCTGTACCTACAGTCTCCTTTGGAATTATTTTCTGTATTACTGTTCATATAAAACTCCACAGGTTGTTAAACGTACTATTTCTATTGTGGTTCTAAGAGGGGTGTAGGAACCTCTCTATCGTTCAGAGCTCCTCTCCCAGTTCTGGGCGCTTTGAGCTATCCGCTCCTGACACGGCAGCTGCAGTGGCTGCTTGCGCGCGGTGCCCTAGTTGGTTTGGGAGTCCAAGGGCTCCGTGTCCGTTATGGGAGCCTGAAAAGTACCAAGATTATTCATGAGGGTACACATAACTCCAAACCCCTGTTCTTACCAGGGCTTGCGGTTTACAGAATAACAACTACAGCCTGAACGATATGGCAATCGAGCCAGTTCGCAATGACAAGTAGACGCAGAGCCAGAGGTGCTCGAAGCAAACCTGACGTTCCGGTTCGATTGTCATGTCCTTGGAGGGTTCAGGCCTGTATATAGGGCCGCAAAAACGCACATAAGCAAAAACACGGATAGGGATATCCCATATAAACCCCCGTATAATGCAGCCCAATAATGTAGGGATATCCCTATAAAATGGTTATGCTTATGTGCTTTTGGGGGTCCCCAGTAAAGTGTTTTGGAGCACAGAAGAGTGCAGGTGCCTTAGGGTTTAAAGGAGGCGAAGGTATATACTGCATGTTAACACCTCTTAGTACCCCAAAACAACTGTACCGTACTGTACTATACTGTATCATGCTATATACCACCATGCCATGCAAAACCATACCACATCATACTCATTTACTGACCTGTCCTACTAAGTTATATGACAGCATGTGCTTCAGAGTTTTGAGATTCAATCCTGCAACTTCTGGGATATGTCAAAAAGATAAATAAAACCAAAACAAAACCAAAAAACAAACACGTACACCCAGCCAGTAACAACAACAACGAACAAAAAACAAAACAAAAACAACACAAAAACTAAAAGCAAGATAACAGTGCAGGTGGAGGCGTTCACCTTTTGTTTGTGTTTTTTTTGCTAGTTTTGCTGCTTTGTTTGGTGTTTTCCCTAGAAAAAAAAAGCAAAAACAGAGAGCAAACACACACAAAACAACAACCACCAAACAAACATACCCACCGTTGTGTGTTTTTTTTTTTTTATCTTTTTATGTGTTTTTTTTGATTTTGTTTTATCTTTTCGTTGATCTCCAGAGGTTACAGTGTTTTGAATCTCATAACTTTAGAGTTCTATGCAGGAGACCAGTCATGTTATTGGTCCTCACGCTGATTTGAGAGTTTACGAACATTAGGGGTGCTTTGTTTTGGGGTCCTGATAGTAAGGGTCCTACTATTTAGGGTACCATAAACTATATTAGGGTCCCTCGACCCTAAACCCTACTATTTTCAAGGAAACTCGCATTGCACAGAGTGTCGAGGCTGCTCCCGCTGCCGGCGCAGCTCCACCGATCCTTTGTGCTGATGCTGCTGCTCGAAGGTTCATGGAACGACTTGTTTTGGGTTTGAAGTAGGAGTTTGGGGTTTATGGACGACCTGGTAGAGTCAGTCTAGTACTGTATCGTATAGCTTCTTTTTGCATAAACTAGTAAAGTACAGTCGCACCATAAGAAGGAGCAACAACGATGGTTTCTAGAAGTGTAGTATTACTAAGGAACATTACTTGAGATTTCTAAAGGGCCTCAGAACGGCTCAGGCTTGTCTTGCTGGCAGCCTGCCTGGTTGTGCTGCAGGAGGCTCTCATTGCGAACTTTCTTGTTGGGGTTTAGGGTTCAGGGTTTAGACTTAGAGTTAGGGGTTCGGGGTTTGGGGCGTTTAAGGTTTAGGGGTTAGGGTCCGCGTTCCTTAGCCGCAGCATCAGCCTCCATGGGGTTCCGCAGGGCTTAGATATGTGTTTGTTCACGTCCGGTCTGCTAAGGAGAGCTAGGGAAACTTGGCGTGTCGGTCGTCACCAGTTGAAGGTGCAGCAGAACAGGACACATCATTCTATACGAGAACACTCCGAACCGTCAAAGCGGACAGGCTGTGAGTGAGTTGGCATTCGGCGATCAAGGCAGCCTTTTGCCGGAAGCTAAGTGACTGCTGCACCAGGGCTTTCTGGAGCCACTTTGGGCTGTAGAGAGCTCAAAAGTGCCTTCTGTTCCGCTTGTAATGCGTTCAGTACATTTGGATGTAGGGCTTTGGGAAGCTTGCTGGGACCGGAGTGAAGTTGCTCGTAGTTTGGGTGTCGGTTTAGGGTTTAGGGTTTAGTTTAGTGTGTGTCTGTGTGTGCTGCAGCTTGCATTACTTGCATTTCGGACTTAACAGGCCCAAGGCTTCCAGATCTGTGGTTTAGACAGCCTGATCTTAATACAGGGGCCTCAATAGCTACCTATATACTATTTTGGGGGGTTCCTTATTATAAGTATAGTAAAAGGGCCCCCCCAGCCCCATTCCAATTATTAAAGCCCTAAGGCCCCTATAGTAGGCGCCGGCCCTCAGGTTTGCATCGGGGGCGGCGAGCCTCATGCTGGCTGTTTTGTTCCATGGCACGAAGTTGATGCAGCAGGCGGCCTTCCGCTGTGTGATGATTGTTGGAAGCATCGACTTCGTGCTTTCAGCCGTAAGGACTACTTGGCAGGATCCCTGTGTTCTCCAGATTGCCCTTGCTCGTCATTCACCCTAGCTGTTACCTGCTGCTGCTTGTGCTGCTGCCGCTGCTGCTACTACTGCTACTACTGCTACTACTGCTACTACTGCTACTACTGCTACTACTGCTACTACTGCTACTACTGCTACTACTGCTACTACTGCTGCTCCTGCTCCTGCTCCTGCTGCTACTCCTACTCCTACTCCTACTCCTACTCCTACTCCTACTCCTACTCCTACTCCTACTCCTACTCCTACTCCTACTCCTCCTACTCCTACTCCTACTCCTACTCCTACTCCTACTACTACTACTACTACTACTACTACTACTACTACTGCTACTGCTACAAGCGCCACTACCACTACCACTACGACCACCCCTGCCCCTGCCAGTGCCACTACCCCTACCCCTGTCACTGCCACATGCACTCACTAGCTCTACTTCTACCACTACCATAGTACCACAGCTACTACCACTGCCACTACGATTGGGGCTACGACTACGGCAGTGACGACGACTACTCCTAGCACCACTGCTGCGACAACTACCACTGACTGCGACTGTGACTCCGACTACTCCGACGACGACGATGCAAGCCACGACGACTGCTTATACTTCTACTTATACTGTCTCTGCTGCGGCTATAGTCGCAGTACGAAGCGAACAGTATTCAGAAGCTCCACTGCTCCATTGGGGGGAACCGCTGGCGCCCTTAACACCCCCAAAGAAATCCACTTGAATTATGGTAACCGAACCTTATAGCCTCATAAACCCTAAGTCCAAGAATCCTAAAGCCCTAAACCAACAAAACTTGGCCCTACACCCGAAACCTCTAAACCCTAAACCCTAAACCATCCCAAAGCAGGTCCTCCAGAATCGCAGCTTCACGGCTGCAGGGGATCGAGGCCGCGCCGGAGTCTCGGCCAGCCGTGCCTTTGGCTGACGGCTCAGGACTTGGAGTTGCAAAGTTGAGGGATTGATAGGCGCCTTAATAATTGGAATAGGGTTCCTTTAAAGGGCTACTATAAGGGCTACTATACGGATTTAGTATAGGGGCCTTCATAATTAGAATAGGGTGTTGGGGCCCTTGTTGCTTAGAATCAGGAACTTCCAAAATCATAGTATGGGTTAATATTCAGGCCCCTATAGGTTCTGATGATCTGAGGGCCTTCGTAATCAGAGCAGCATGTTGGGGAAAAACAGTTTAGGTGTATGCAGGAACGCTAAGGGATGACATTGCTAGTTATTCCGGCTTCTATGTACCTCCTAAACCTCAAAAGTTAAGCCGTAAAATGGACAAGCCGAGCCTCGGTCTGAAAGATTGAACGATAAACCTGGAGTCGTAAGTTTGAGCCCCTAGGCCCAGAATCCATGTAGCTACTTTCCAAATCTTGGGCCCTGAACGGCAATAGTTTCAACCACTCCACCTGGGACAAGTCGTTCCCTCCGTGTGGCTCTGACCGCAGCCGTGCAGAAAAGCATTCTGTTCAGTCGTTTAAGGCATACAGAAGCGGAAATGATGAGTGTGCAATATCATTCCGCTTATAGTCCCCGTACACTTCTATTATAATATGCCACCCTAAACCCTAAACCCTAAACCCTAACTATCCCAAAAGCTGAAGGTGGGAGGTTAGAAGCCTGCTCCATTGGAGCTCTCCGGACGCCTGGCGGTCGGAAAAAGGTTCTCAAAAAAAAGAAAAAAACTATCCCAAAAGCCAAGGCCGCTCTAGCGCCGTTTGCAAACCGCCAGAGCCCTCACCGAGGCTCTACACTTCTACATCGCCGAGCGAGATGCCACGGTCGCAGAGCTGGAGGAGTGCATTCTTAACTTTAAGGCTCTTGGAGACTTTGTTACTTTGTTCCTTTTTTGGTTCCGGTCTTCTTTATAGGGGTCTCCGAAAAAAGTTGTTTTTTGCTTACCTTCCAAGGGGAGTAGAGTTAACAGCATCATATACTTCTTAATAGTATCAGAAACTTACTAGCAGTATCATATGCTGATTATTAGAGTCAATAGTATCATATACTTCGAGACAGTATCATATTCCTATTAACAGCATCATATACTTCTTAATCGTGTCATAAACTTACTAGCAGTATCATATGCTGATTATTAGAGTCAATAGTATCATATACTTCGAGACAGTATCATATTCCTATTAACAGCATCATATACTTCTTAATCGTGTCATAAACTTACTAGCAGTATCATATGCTGATTATTAGAGTCAATAGTATCATATACTTCGAGACAGTATCATATTCCTATTAACAGCATCATATACTTCTTAATCGTGTCATAAACTTACTAGCAGTATCATATGCTGATTATTAGAGTCAATAGTATCATATACTTCGAGACAGTATCATATTCCTATTAACAGTATCATATACTTCTTAACCGTTTCAGATACTTATTAGCAGTTCATATACTTGTTAACAGTATCATATACCTATTTATCGAATCATGTACTTACTAGTGTTACTTCGTATTATTGTGAGTATTACCCAGACGAGCCAGGGCCTTTGCTTTCAGCTGGAGGGTTTACTCAACCCTAAACCCTAAACCCCTAGTTTAGGGGTTTGGGTCATTTTTTGTGCAGGGTTAACTAAGGTCCGTTAAAAAAAAAGGCCTACATTAGGGGGTTTCGGGTTTGTTTTTAGCTGGAGGGTTGCAGTCCTTCAGTTGCCTGAGCATTTCCAGGTGTATAGTTGAGGGGACGGTCTAATTCAGAGGAACCCAGTGCGTGTGCGAACCAGCGCTGAACATATCAGCAGCTTCACATTCTTAAACCCCAAACCCTTAAACTTAGGTGTTTTTAGAAGCCCCGTCCGGAAGTCCCCACCTAAATCGCGTACAAACATTGTTTAATTGTTTGGGGTGGGCTTCTAGTGGGTTCAATTGTTGCGACAATTGTTTGGGAAATTGTTCAATTCTTGCGACAATTCTTTCGGAATTAGTGCAATTCTTGCGACAATTGTTTCAGAAATTGTTCAATTCTTGGAACAATTGTTTCGGAAATTGTTCAATTCTTGCAACAGTTGTTTCGGAGATTGTTGAATTCTTGCGACAATTGCTTCGGAGATTGTTATTATTGTAGCAGGTGTTTAACGGTAACTTAGCAGTACTTTCTCCAGCTGGGTTTTCAGCCTGCTACTTCTCCGCTCAGCCTTCATTTTCTGAGATGCCGGAGGCAGGTGGCCCAAGCCTCAGGAAGTGATCGGCCCGAATGGACTTTCAGCGTCTTGTGGGTATCGCATTGCAGCAGAACCAGCGGCAGCAACAGCAGCAGGCACAACGGCAGCATGGTGTCCGGAGGGGACAATTTTTTCGGTTACGCAGGAGGGCCTTGCGCCGGGTAGAGGGCAGGCAGCGACAAGTGAGTGCTGCTGAAGCTTCTTTTCGCATGCAAGCACAGTCTTCCAACAGGTCGGGCAGGGGTCGAACTGAAGACCATGTACTGCCCGTAAGCGCTGCCGGCAGCCGTGGTGATGTGAAAGGCAAGGGGTCTTGGAAGAGGTGGACTCCGGATGCAATTCTGAGGGGAGGCTTCTCGCCGGGTACCGTGAGTTCACGCCAGGCTGCGGATCAGATAGAGGGGGCAAGTGCAGCAGCAGTGTTGACTGCAAGACTTTTCGTGGCAGAGTGCATTCATGAGGGTCAGACAGCATACGATTCTAGGCTTTTGCAGCGCCTGAAGCACGCTGCTGGCGACGATCCGATTGATTTCGCATTGCTCAACATGATGTTTGATGAAACAGAGCTGGACCTAAATATGGGTGCAGATGGAGAGGCCGCTTGGTCGGTGCTTGCCAGCCATTCCCAGATCACCTACAGCAGCCGCGGGGAAACTGTAGATTTTGATGCTGTTCGTGCCCCGTCCATTTTGCCTACTAAGAAGGCAGCCACTATGTATCCAGTGCTTTGTTCAGGCGTTGGTGGCCTTTGGCCGGGTGTCACCTCTGTGCAGGCACGGATGCGTGCCGTCCTTGTAACCTGCGACGCAGGAGCCGCTAACTTAAAACTGCTGAGACATGTTTGCGCGTGCCTTCCGAATACAGTTGGTGTGATTCCAACTCTTTGTGCACAACATCGCAATGGGAATGTGATTGAACGCGCCACGAAATTGTTAGGCATACTGCCGGGTAGCTTTGCAGTTGCGAAAACCATGAAGCAAGGCTCATGGATGCGCACCATTGCCAAGCATGTGCAGTCCACTCTAGCTGCAAAGCTCGTTATATTGCCAGAGGAGCCGGAAGGATTGGAAGAAGAGTGGGCTCGTTCCCGGGTGGCTGCCAAAGCTTTGCTAGAGCTCGTTGTTGCAAATGGCCCGCGAGGTGAGGATGAGCAGCCGCCCAGGGGATTCGCGACTGCGGTGAGCGACTTCATGAAGTTCTTCCCCGGCCCGTGGACAGGACCCCCGCCTTGCCACATGAACAAGTTTCTGATTTCTGCTTCTTCGAGAATTTGGTTGATTGTACATCAACTAATAGGGACCCATTACTGAGGCCCATGCCTATTGTATGGGGAGGCTCACTGGTCGTCATGGTTCCTAGCCGCACAGGGCAGAAGGCTCCATTGTAGTTTCTTGGTCAAGTTACAGGTATGCATCTTGAGTTTGAAGGGTGTTGTTGCATGTTGTAGGTCAGAAGCGACAGTGCAAATCAAATCCCTGCTCTCATATGACTCATATGAAACAAGCTGACGAGTGTGATCGCCTCTGCATCATTTGGTTCGAGAGCTGAATGTGTGTGGCCTGTTGGCGGTGGACAGCTTGGGAGTGCCGAGCATCATGTCGTTGAGCACCATGAAAGCGACCGGCCTACCTTCCTTGTTCACGAACCACGACGCGCGGAAGGACGCAGCTCGTGGCCTCTGGCCGGGTCCTTTGCTCCGGGAAGAGGACAAACTCAGGCATGCGACAAACGAGCTTCGCCGTGTACTGGTTTCGGAGGCTTACGGGGGGGTGCACGCAGCTCGCCACGCTCGAGATGCGTACAATGCCAGGCCGGGAACGGAAACTTCGTTAGTCGTTGAGCGAGCCATGTGGGATGTAGGCCAAAAGCCTGGTAATTACAATCAATCAAGATCTCGATCAGGTTTAGTTTGGTTTTAATGTCAGTTCATGATCATGAACGAATCAGTCTTGGGCCAGCTTGGGCGGTCTGGGCTCAAGGCTTAGGCTTAGGCTGAGGGCTTAGGCTTAGGCTTAGAACTCAGGGTTTAGGAGTTTAGAGTTTAGGGTTCTGGTTTGGGTTTAAGATTAAGACTATGAGACTATGCGATGCCAGTTTGGGTCCTTGCTTTGCTCGTGCACAACCCATATAACCGCCATAACCGTGTCCCCCACGAATATGAACCTTTGCAAGTCTATGTGGTTTCTCGGCCTCGGGTTTACAAGCGGTTCTTGGTCCGATTTTCTTGTGCGCAGGCATCCTATGTCTCTCGTGTTCGATATGGCTGCATTTTCCCCTGGGTGCCGTGGCAAGCTTTGGCTTGGATCGGAAACCGCCGCATCCGACTTGCAGCTGCTTCGTGCGAACAAGATCACGGTGGTGCTCCCTGCGGCTTCGAAGCCATGTGTGGCTCAGTCGATGGACCTCCGTGTGTTACCAGTTCTAGACGGTACAGCAGTTGCCAACTCCGAGGTCCCTTTCGACAAGTTGATGAAAACGGTAGATACAATCGTGGAAGCTCTCGCAGCGGGTAAAACAGTTCTGGTCATTTGCAGGAACGGAGCCCACCGAAGCGCCACGGTTTGTGCTTTGATTCTGCTACGGATCTTGCAGTCTACCCCAGACGAGGTGCACCAATTCATGAACAGTGCCAGGAACATCGTCGACTTGGAGTCAAGAGCACCCCCAAACAAGTACCGGCAGGAAAGCGCGATGCCCTTGGAGTTCCTTCGTGGGGTCTCTGACCGGGTGCGAGGCTTGGAGCCATTCCCTGGCTTGGAACCATTGTCGCAGCCCAACGAGCTGCTGACGCCAATCGGCTTCAGACGGCGGGCCTTGCAGCTGGGTTTTCAGACGACCAGGGATTCGGAGCCTCGTTCCTCGCATCCTTCCGGTGATGTCAGTGATGCAGGCACCATCACGAGTCTGCCAAGATCTGGAATCAGTGAAGGCAGCAGAGGCAAGCGAAAGCTCCTAGTCGCCAGACCTGGGGAGTCTTCTGGAGTTGACAGCTTTGAGTTTGTCGCCGCCACTGAGGGCAATTCCGAGTTCTCGGATTGTAAAGTGGAAGGAAGCAGTGCAGTCGTGCTCTCAGAATATGAGTCCGACTCTGACCTCTATGCCATGATCCATGATGAACTCGGTGACCCAGAAGACCGCAGGGAAAAAATCCGCAAGTTGATGCTTGACCTTCAGGCACTGGATGCTAGGCTCATGGGGGTGCATGGAGAAGGTGCCCTTGGGGCGGGTGGTCCAGAAGTTGCCGAAGAGCCCATCGAAGAAGCCAAGCAAGAGGGCACTGATGGTGAGGGCCACGCTGCAGAGGAAGGCCAAGCATGTCCCAAATAATGCCAAGTAAGCCCCATAAACCCTAAACTCCTAAACTCCCATACCCCAGACTCGGTATGATGTATAAACTTTAAACTTTAAACTTTAAGCCCCGAGCGTTGAGGCTAGTATGTTCCGGAAACTTAGCCCCATCTTCAGGTCAAGAGTCTCCGTTCCAGTGCGATTGGGATGGCGAAGAGGATGAGGAGGAGTTTGCCGAACCAGCAGAGCCGGCTCTGAAGGTTGACGAAGACCTCGACGATATCATGCAGAAGGTGGCGCAGCAGGGAGCCACTGATGCGGCGGAGGTGCT